TTCCGGACATGGGTCCCTATACTCAAATGTTTTCTACTGTTGCACTGAATAACCCCTAGAAGTTTGATCCCATAGTTCTGAAACACCCTGTATATTATAATATAGATTAATATTTATATATATAATATACAAGGTGTCCGACAATTACTTTGAAATCTCTTGTAGGCAAAAGAAGTAAAACTGAGTCGAAAAGTCCTGAACTATTTTTTTCTATTACATATAATAAAGGAGTAATTATTGAATAAATCAAGCCAATCAGCGCCGACCTTTAGCCGAACGCACGTCAGTGAACCACACGTCTGGTGTGCGTGAGCGCTCCGCGCGTCTCACTGACGTGAGCTCGGCTAAAGGTCGGCGCTGATTGGCTTGATTTATTCAATAATTACTCCTTTATTATAAATAATAGAAAAAAATGGTTCAGGACTTTTCGACTTAGTTTTACTCCTTCTACCTGCCTACGAGAGATGTTAAAGTAATTGTCAGGCACCCTGTATATATATAATATATATAATTATCATATGTTATATATAATTATACGCTTGTTATCTAGTAAAGCTACATCTCTAATTATGTCACTTGTGCATGTCATTGTTTCGATTAAATCATTGTTATGGTGTTTAGTTAGCATTTAATATAGCATAAGTCAAAAAATTAAAAAATAAATTGAATTTAGCGACAAGATTAGAAGATAACTAAGATGGAATTATTTGTGTTATACATTCAACAACAACAAAATCCAAAGATAAAGTAGTGCGAGAAAGCAAAAATAAACAATAATTGATGAAAAAATGTTGATAAAGTGTTCCTCGCAGTTGCTTCTATTTGTATCTACTGAGTGTCCATTATTTCTTCTTTAGCATCTTCAGGATAAGTTAAACCATATAAAGCTGACAATGCTGCTTTAGCCGCAATTTTTTTGGCATCTTTTTTGTTCTTAGCTATAACACACATTTAGATATATTAACAATAATAAACATCACGTCAATTTTATTGTTCCTTGAAGTTTTTTACCTGTTCCTGAATATTCAGTTCCGTTAACATCAACAGCGAGGGTAAACATTGTATTTGGTGGATTACCAGAACGACTGACTTCAACGTACGTCAGTCCAGGTCTTACTTGATTCAGTAACATAACTGGATGTATACTCGTAGGATTAGGTGGAAGTTCTTTTTGAACTTGAGGTCTGGATGAGACAGAATTATCTCTCTTTAATCCTTTTCCAGCTGGTAAACCAGGTCGTGGAACTGGGACTGACGTTCCTTGATTATGCCATTCGAGGAAAAGTTTGTAAAGTGCAAAACTTGCTAATGAACTCCATGGAATTTCATCTTCGGCGTTATTTGTGGTATCCATGGCATTATTGTCATCGTTATTTTCTTCTTTCATTTCTGGATTATTACATGAACTAGATTTTTCTTCCAATTGTCCATCAGATTCAGAATCCATACGCGTATCTGATTGACCATCTGATTCAGCATCAATACGTGCTTTCATAGATGCTACAGTCATCTTCTCAAGTAGTAAACCTTTTAACGCGTTTTCAGCCGCGTTTTGACGAGCTTGTGGTTTGGACAATCCTTGCCCAACATATGTTTTACCATCAAGCTATATACATATATACATACATGTTGTAAATATATATGTTATTAATATATGTTATATTAATAAAGCATTTTTGATATATTATACATTATTATAAATATATTAAACGGTAAATAATACTTGGAAAGAGAGAGAGAAGTGTAACCAGAATGTTATAAAATTATAGCAATATGTTTAAAATTCTTATTTAGTAATGTTGTTACCTCAGCATGAACAACATAGAGTGAGAATTTGTCTCCAGAATTTGTCATCTGTGTCTCAGGATATGTAAACTGAACTCCAGCCTTCATTTCGTTCAATACCATTATTGCATTCTTAGGTTGCAAAGTCTTCCTCAGACGTTGATTCATACGAAGACGCTTCAATTTTTTGTTCACTTTAACTGCAGAAATAATTATATTAGATACGTAATTATAACAATGTAAACAGTTCAGGATCTGCTGTTTTATCAGCATAAAACTTCACATTGACTGCAGGAGAATCCAAGCTTAAATATTAACAGCATTGCACTTGGCACTCCTGAATCTTCAATTTTGCGCAGTGAAATGTCATCACAAAAGAGAAAATGAGCAACTTATATACCTCTGTGCAATTTATAACCAATTTAAAAATACTTACATCCTGGTATCTTCCTTCGCCATCTAGGATGGCCATCCTGCTGTTCGGCTTCTCTTTTTTCAGATTTGTTTTCTGTTTGATTATCAATATTGTCAGCAGGAGGAGGAGGAGGCGCAGAAGATGGAGCGGATGTAGGCGGAGTAGGTGCAGGCGGAGCAGGAGTACTTTGTGCAACAGTTGGAGGCTGTACATTTGCTGTACTATTTTTTAAGATTGGCTTCAATCGTTGCAACAATGGAGCTCCTGAATTTTGTTGAGATGGAGATTGTTGTTGATGTTGTTGATGTTGCTGTTGATGCGGCTGTTGTTGTTGATGCTGCTGCTGCTGTTGATGTTGCTGCTGCTGTTGATGTTGCTGCTGCTGATGTTGCTGTTGATGCTGCTGCTGTTGATGTTGCTGCTGTTGGTGTTGCTGTTGTTGGTGTTGCTGTTGCGAAGGCGACGATTGTTGTACTTGCTGTTGTGATTTTCCACTTAATGGCATATTTGATGGTAGTCGCATATGTGCGGACTGTTTTTGTCCTTGTTGCTGCGATTTCATGCCTTGTGGATTTGACATGTTCGGTTTGTAATTGCTTTGTTGCATGGACAAACCTTGTGATCCTTGATAATTTCCTTGCATGTCATGCTAAAACATAGAGGGTGGGTGTCGCCGCTACACAAGGAACCTTCGCGGTTGTGCTATACTACCAAGGTCTAGCATCGTATTGTGGACAATTAAATGCTACCCCCATAACTCATCAACCATATCACTTTTATTGGCTAATAATGCTTTACTCATGACTGTGTGTTAAATGTGTTAAATTAGTAAAAATGAAAAGAATAATAAGTAATGTTTTTATATTATATAAAATATTAATATAATATTTTTAACATATATATTAATATCTTTATATTGACAAAGAAATAATTTAGAGTTATTTTTTGTATTGCACTTGAATTGCAATACATTTTGAAAAAAAAAGAAAAAAAAATGTTTATAAGTTAAGTTTGTAAATAATACAATTACTATTTCGCATGCTCCAAAATATTATAAAGTAATCAAATGAAATTCAATGTTTAGTATGTCATGCATTTGATAGTAAGTAGAATGACAATAATTGACAATAATTTAGCATTCTACGATAGTGGAATAAACTTTGCACAAGTTTAGCATGAACTACCAAAAAAACAGTTTATGGTAGGATATGCTATGTGGGTAACCGACGACCTAGTCCCTGATTGAATGCACCTCCTCGGTATTGTTGTATAGCTACTAGAACCTGCATTGCAGGGGAGGGGAAAGTAGGAACCACTAATTAGTCAATAAGTGGAATCTCTAATGACAAATGGATTTCATACTTGGATTATAAAACTATAAGACATTTGCAATGTTGATATCACATTGATTATCTTACATAATCAATGTTTCACTTTGATTCTTACACTTGAATAACTTTTGTTGAAAAACTTATCCTTGTAAAAACATGTCTATTGTATATAAGAATAATAATAATGATGATAATATGAATAAATAAATATTAATAAAAATTGAAAGTAAGAATAGTAAATTGTATGCATATATTTAGAATAAAGAAATCACTTTAATGATTTGTTTCTCAAATATTTTTAAGTTTAATTGTTAAATTAATCCTTGCTTTCATGTGAATGTATGTAGAATCATGTTTTATACATATCTGTTAAAAGAGTACTAAAATATTGTAAATCATTTAAATCATTAATTAACATTCTTATAATCACTACTTTTGAGAAAATTTTAAAATATATATAATAAGTACATGTATTAATAAAATATACATGTACAAAAAATCATAAAACTTACTGAGCCATATGACCCTTGCATTTGATGACCTCTCTTGGATTCTGCAACATAGAATTATTATACTTTATAAAAATGAAACATACAAGTGATACATTATTTTGTTAGTCATTCTCTTAAAGAAAATGTTATTAAAACGTTCTGATATTGAATATATTGATAATCAGAATTAATTTTGTGCAATTTAATACAATTTTATAGCTTAATGTGTTTTAGAAAAAATATATAATTTGTAAAAATATTACATCACTAGTTATATATTTTTAACAAATATTCTGCATATGACATTTGTCATTCCTCAGTAATTATTCACATACACACATTTTATTGACTTTTTCTTTTGTTCGTTTCACGTACAACTTACATTTCCATCACAATTATTATTATCATGCTGATATATTCACACATAACGCAATAAGCTCAAAATAATTAACCATGACTACATGTATTCAATAGTCTTACCATTTCCATAGCCTTGATTCATTTTTCGCTGATACATCTTGGAAGTAAATCTGTGCTTCAAGTTTATATACGAATCTTTATTGAGATCTCTAACTTTTTGTAGAGAAGTTTCGAGTGTTTAATTTGATACGATCAATTACACGAACGTAAAACCCTAAATTTAATTAAAACTGTAAAATACAATGTGAATAAGTTGATTCACGACTGATTACTTTTGACTTCCTGTTCTTTATACACGGTAATGGTAATGTGATATTCACCCTCTACATAATCGATATGCACTGCGTCGTGTACCAGTATAAAGATAGAAATGAATAGGAAATGTCGCCAGTGATGTAGCTTGACCTGAGTTGCCTTACGCCGGAAATGATGAGTCCGCCATATTGGCGTTCAGCAAAACAGCGCGTGACCGCTGAAACAAGCTTTGTAGGTAGCAATCGAACGTGATTGGTAGCTTGTAGAACTGATGTCATAACTTTGATTTTTTGAAAACGCACGCGATAACGCCAATGTGGCTACATTTTTATGAAAACAAATTTGATTGGCTTTTCGTTTTTTGTCATGCGTAACGCTTTCTGTGCCAATATAATTATTGTCTTTTCAATGAGAGAAAGGTCCGCGGTCTTCGCATAGGGGTGGAATAGTGAGCAGAATGGGGGGCTTTTTCCGCGTCCCGTCGAAGGGGCAATTCGCAGAACGGACGAATTTGCGTCGGTTCGCGGACCTTTCTCTCATTGAAAAGACTATAGCTTATCTTACGTAATTAAAAATTAGATTAAAACGCACAATTAAAAAAATTTAAAATTCATTAGTCACAACTTAATATTTACTTGTTATTTAATCATATGTAAAAGTGATTTTTGTTTAACATGTTATATACTCAATTAGAAATTTGCATCAGTTTGTGTTTATATATTTAAAGACATCGTTTTAATGTTAAATAACAAAAATGTCATAAATCTCACAATTATTATACAAGATATTTATAGCGATCATTTCCATTAAAAAAGAGAATATACTTTTGCAGATTCAAAGTAATCCTTCCATTTCTTGCATAAATTGCATGTATGCATCGTCTTTCGTTTTCGGTTGCGCAGTTCTAACCGGTTGCGCTTCCGGTAATCGTTCGATAATTCTAGGAATATTGCTAGATTTCTTTTTGTCGTCTCTCTTTACGCGTAAAGACGTTGGTAAAAATCTCGTAACATCAGCGGCCAGATTTCTAATTTGCGGCTTTGCCTCGATAGTGGTGCTACTTTTCCCGTCCTTATCCTTCCTGTTGATCAATTGCGGCGCAGCGGAAAGAACATTGGGGGTCTTTGGTTGCGCGGTTGTTCCAGGCTGCGTTTGCATCTGTGGATTCGTTATGTTCGGTATATTCGACATTTGCATTTGCGATGGGGGAGGCATTCTAGGTATGGCTGAAGGTCCGGGTCTCAGTATTCTTGGCATTCCAGGTGGAGGACCTATTCAAAGCACAATTAAATTTATAAAATTATATGGTATTGATTTTTAAAATCCGGATGTATTAAACATGATATATCTAACTATTAAAATTATCACACACACAGATATATAAGAATTTGAAATAAAAATAAGAGAAAGAATATCGATGTATCACCAGGTGGTAATCGAAGCCCGATACGTGGTGGAGGCGGCGGCGGCATTCTAAGATGCAATGGCGGCGGAGGTGGCCGATAAAGTAAAGATGGCGGGGGTATACCCATCGGCGGCATTGTGTGCTGTTGCGTATGCTGGGAATGAGATGTGTGTTGTCCATGTCCGGCAAGATGATCCGACGCTCCAGGTGGTTCCGGTTCTTCGTCATCTGCTTTGTTATTAGATTTGTTATTGTTGGATTTAGCATTAGAATCATTCTCCGCTTCGAGCAGCGATAAGCGCGCGTTAAGATCCTGAGCACGTTCAGTCTCTCTCTTCTTATGAACAACCTCCATTTCCCGCATAAACTGATCAATGTCCTGCCCCGCCATTGCCAACATTTTCTGCTGCAACGTAGTTGGTTTGACTTTTGCCATATCTCGTTCCTTTTCCTTCTCTTTTTCAGTGTCTTTCTCCTTATTTTCTGACTCTTGTTTGTTCTCCTCCTCCTTGTCATCAGCAAATCGTATTGTTCTTGATTTTGTCGGAGGATCTTTAACCTGCCAGTTACATGAACAATAAAAGTATTTAAAGTTTTTTTTTTTTTTTTGATAATAGCAAACTAAATACTTACACTCTCAGACATATCCTCATCATCGCTGGATAATTCAGGAGGTGGAAATGGTGGAACACCAGGTGGCTCTTTGTTGGGAGCCAATGTAGGCACGGAAGAAGAAGCTGCATATGCACTGGTTTTTTTCAAAATGCTTGGCGGTATTGGAATGTTCATTAAAGGATGATGTTGCGATATGTAATGAGGATGAGGTGGATATATGTGTGCAGGTGGTTGTGGCATATCCGGTAATGGAATCTGTGATGGCAAGGATCCTACAAAAAGAAACTTGTATCAAACTGCTGTTTATATCATTTTTTTTTGTCTACAAAATATTATAGCAAATATAAAATCCATATTTTTATTATATATTTACCAGCATATATCCTAGATATGTCACTAGCAGCTGATGGCAATGGAATTTCATCAACTTGTACTTGTTGTGCATGTCTTACAGCTTCAAAGTAAGAAACCAAATCTATTCTTCTACGTTCATATTGTATCAATTGCTCTTTCAATTCCGCCCATTTTTCCTGGTCATCTTTTGCCTAAAAATTAAGTAGATATGAAGCACATTGCATTATAATCAAATTGTTAATCATAAGCTTACCAATACTTAATTTTGAAGAAAATTTACACAACTACATTATTTACATACTTACATACATTTTTAAGACACGGTCTAATGTCTCCTTAAGTTTTTTTCTTTTGTCCTTCAATACTTTTTCATTTAAGGGAGGAGGTTGCATTACATTGTACTCTGGAAAAAGTAATATATATATATCAATTTTATATATTAAAAAAATACTTGTACATAAAATCTCTAAGATTGCTCTTTAGACTAACCCATCTGATCTATTTTTTCCATTTCTTCAATAATCTGTGCAGGATCTTTGCCTTTTAAAACAGCTGCTCTTACCAATTGACGTTGTTTTTTGTTCTTTTTCAATTCCTTTTTACGAGCTTCTTTTCCTACAATAACACAATACATGCAGAAATATGTGTATATAAATCTTAAACTATTAATAAAAGTTTTTAAAATTTAAATTAAAATGCATTCAACTTTTATCACTAATTTTGAAACATATAAAATGTTTAGTTTTGTATTTTTGCAATTTTGAAGATACTGTTTAGAAAGTTTGGTTATATTCTGAGACACTAACGTGCTTGATCAGTGGGATTCATGTATTTCCCACTTTTTGTGGTATTAATCGAACGGCGTCCCATTTTTGAGAAATTCTTCGCAAACTGTTCGCTACAAACAATTCACTTGAAACAATCTACTGCAAATTCAGTAAAATTTTACGCGAATAGCATTTGAATATATACACACATAACACACTGACATAAGCCAAAAAGTAAAATCGGTCGGAAAAATCACTGGAAGAAACGACTTGATTCTGTTTTATCTTATGGATATACACAAATGAGACCAGTGAAGTTTTGTAGTCGATCTCACGATGGCGTTTCAATCACATTGTCAGTGATTGTTCTTATCGACGGATCTTACTGGATGAACGTATATAGTTCATGCCCGATTGGTATGTGCTAACCAATAATTGGCTTCGTGTTCAAAATACGATCACTTCTCGTAAGTCACGTACAGAAAATTCGCACAATGTTTTAATAAATTGCCAAGTGATCAATTACGTGATTGATTATTTGTAACGAGAAATTGCGCGATTGTCCAAAATTGTAGTAGAACGTTCGTGCGGAGTGTTCCGCAAATTTAACATATGATCGGTCATTTTTACGATACGATCTGTCGTTTCTTGATTTTGCACAATCATTTCTCGATTATTCGAACTTGCTGCGAAATTTCTACGATTTTCTCGTCCTGAAACTCAAGATTATGATATCTCTTCAATCGCAGAATCAGGTTTGTAAACTTTTTTTTAATGTCGTAGAATTACATCAGCAAACTTTTGACACTGTTGTATCTTGCACATATTTTGCAATCTTGATCGTTTATATATATATACATATATATATATAAACGATTGTTAACTACAAAGATTATTGCTTCTTTTGTCTTTACTGAGTGTAGAAATTATAATAATTATTTTCTGATAAATGTAGTTCATAATCTTCGATCTTTAGGTGTTATACCATCTAACACAGTTGGCATTGACAGTAGCTCCTAGGACAACTACATATTCGATCCAAGCTAAGAAACAAGATGAATCTAAACAAAAAAATACAGAGGAGACAACAATTTGTAGAGAGAGTTTTGAAGAGGTACTTCTTTTTTTTCAGTTTACTTTGAGTGTGTATATTGTTAGATTTCTTTTACAGTTATCTTTAGCAGAACTATTTTTGATTTAATCTATTTCAGGCAACAAAAAATTGTACAGAACTATCAGAAATAAATATAAATACTTTAAATGCACTAAGAAGAATGAAAGAAAATAAAGTATATGTGATATTGGATAATATATCTAGTAGTGTATTGAGAAAACCTTTGGAAGAGAATAGCAAGTGGAAAGTGTCTTACATATCTGGCCTAAGTTTTGACGAAAACAAACAGGGTTTTCCATGCTCACCATTAACAGAGCCTGTTGTTCTATCTGCCATTTGTCTACATTCAAAACAACAACCTAAATTATTACACACATGGTATGCCAAAACATTACACAGTCATATGCCAATTCGTACATTTAAGTCTCAGCGTAGCATTAAAATTGAACTGGAACAAAATCCGTCATTAATGAATAGAGTGAAGAAGTGGCTTGGTTTGTCTTCCAATATTCATATGGTATGACATTTGTAATTTAAACAATTATTATCTAAATGTAATTTAATAAATTATTATCTAGTCAATATGATTAACTTATCTGATAAATCTTTTTAATTTTGGTAGAGTTTGGTGCATGAGCCAAAGACTGCGGATTATCAAAAGTTAAACAAAATTCTTAACAATACTGATGTATCAGTAGACGAACAAAAGAGAATAAAAATTGCCTTTGTAGAAGGATATGAGTCTGGATTACAACGGCAGATATATAGCCGAGCAACGATGTTGTTTAAACTCATACAGAATATAATAATTCTTGGTTCTGTCATTCTTTTTATCTGTTTTTATCGTACGTAAAATAAATAAATAATTAATATGTTTAATTTTACTGAAAGTATTTTTATTGGTTAGATTCAATTTTGCAGTTAGCTATCCAGGAGGAGGAATATTCAAGCTTCCTATGAACCATACAATAGAGATCGATCCTGAGGACATTCAGGTTACTTTTGATGACGTTAAAGGGGTGAGAAAAAATTTGAAAATATGCTTGATTGACTTCTGTCATTATATAAAAATTTTTATATAAATTAATGTTTTCTCATCTGTATTTGTTTAATACAATCTGTATATGTAAAAATTACAGGTGGACGAAGCAAAGCAGGAACTTCTGAATGTAGTGGAGTTCTTGAAAAATCCTGATAAATTTTCTGCTCTTGGTGGGAAGTTGCCAAAAGGAGTATTGCTGGTCGGACCGCCAGGAACAGGAAAGACGTTGTTAGCTCGCGCAGTTGCGGGAGAAGCTGGTGTACCATTCTTCCATGTAGCAGGTCCAGAGTTTGATGAAATCCTTGTCGGCCAAGGCGCTCGACGCGTCAGAGATTTATTCAGTGAGTTGAAGCACAAAAAAAAAAAATTGATATTTTATGTAATCGTGCTAATATTCTTATACAATTTGCAGGAGCTGCAAAAGAAAGAGCGCCTTGCGTAGTTTTTATTGATGAGATCGATTCTGTGGGTGCAAAACGAACAAATTCAGTTCTTCATCCTTATGCGAATCAAACGATCAATCAATTGCTCTCTGAAATGGACGGGTGAGTTTGCGAGAATTAAAGTTGGACTTGATGTTTTAGCGGCTGTTTATTTAGTATCTTGCTTTAACGATATATTATCAATAAAGTAAAATCTTTTTATCTTATTTCAAGTATCTGTGCGATTTGTTTTAAGCTTTCGTCAGAATGAAGGTGTTATAGTACTCGGTGCCACTAACAGGCGCAAAGATCTCGACAAAGCTTTAATGCGCCCCGGGCGCTTCGACGTCGAGATTTACGTCAATAAGCCCGATTATTCGGGCCGTAAAGAAATATTAGATCTCTACTTATCCAAGATATTAACGCACGACGTTGACACGGTTTATCTAGCACGCTGCACTACAGGATTTACTGGTGCCGATCTCGAAAACATGGTAAAGAAATCTGTTCTCAATAATATAAATTGTACATTTGTGTTTTTGATATTTAAAAAGCGGTGTAAATTGATTTTTTTTTATTGTAATAAATATTAATTAAGGTAAACCAAGCTGCGTTACGTGCAGCAATTGATGAGGCAGACTGCGTCACTATGAAGCACTTGGAGTATGCTAGAGACAAAGTGCTGATGGGTCCTGAAGGCAAGCTCAAGTTACAAGACGAAGAAGTGAATCGTATCACAGCGTATCACGAAGCGGGACATGCGCTAGTAGCATTTTACACAAAAGATGCTACTCCACTTCATAAAGTCACTATTGTGCCACGAGGACCGTCATTAGGTCATGTATGTATATAAGTACTTATTAATTATATAAAAGACCAATCAATTAACTTAAATTGTATTCACTTTTTTGTTTGATTTCTAATATACTAATTACATTTCTTTTATTTCAGACTTCCTATATGCATGAAAAGGACGTTTATCACACTACAAAGTCACAGTTGTTAGCTACTATGGACTCTATGATGGGTGGGAGAGCTGCAGAAGAGTTAATATTTGGGTCGGAAAAAGTAACGACGGGAGCTTCTTCTGATTTACTAGTATGACTATCTTTAATATATCGTAACTTGTAATTCTATTGCATTTTATTGCATATTGTTCTATGTATAAGTTTGGTTTAAATGTTATCAACAGTTTAAATGTTTTTGTTTAACATTTCTTTACAGCAAGCAACACAGATAGCCGAGATGATGGTTAAGAGTTACGGGATGTCAGACAAAGTAGGATTGAGATCAATAGTTGAAAATAAAAAGTTTTTCACCAACAACAACGCGTATGCGCCAAGCACGAACGAACTCATTGACAATGAAGTAAAGAAGCTCTTGCAAGTAAGTTTAACGTTTCGGTTAGGTTAGGTTAAAGCAAGAATCAATTTTTACAAAACAAGTTACTTAAGATAATTTTATATACACATATATTAATTATAGTTAATTTTTTGAAACAATAAGAGAGTTTATTGATTACAATTCTTTTTTTCTTGTATCAACTTGTTATTTATATTTTTAAGGAATCATACGAACGTGCAAAGACAATTTTAAAAACACATATGAAGGAACATAAACAGTTAGCGGAAGCGTTGTTGCAATATGAGACATTGGATGCCGATGATGTGGCTGCCATAGTAAATGGTAAAACACTATAAAACATGTACACACAAATATATATAATAATAAAACATTAATTTTTGACAATTGTCGATTTAATATATTTGTAAGCTCTATTCTCTCGTATTTAAAATTGTTTTAGAAACTGGACTTGGTAAACAAGACTTGTCCACATTTTCTCCAAAACGAAAAGGAACTGTGAAATAAAAGCTGTTTAAAAACAAATTTTTTTTTTTAGAAAAGGTAGGAATAAAGTGTAATTGTATAAAATTTGACTGGATAGGATAATTCTTATTTTGTACAAGAAGAAAATTTAAATTTACATGAAATGTAAAATATATATATACACACACACACACACATGTTCAAATCTTGTGCAAAAGTTGTTTTCAAGATTTCAATTTAAGCAACTCCCGGGTTTTAAATATTTAAAATAGATAATAACGCGTTTAGATAGATTATTGTCTCTTGACAAAGAGAAATTGTATAATTTTTTACTGAAATAGAGCAGCACACACATACATATACGTATAAAATATATTTCCATAATTTTCTAATTTTTAATAGAATATTTATTATCGCTTACGTTAAGTTCGCGAACAGTCGATAATTTAATTAAAATTTTTACTAGTTATGCTACATAGCTTTTTGCTTATATAAAAATTTTCAAACTAATAATGAATATAGTCAGTAAAAAAGTGTGTTTACATATTAAACGTAATCTTTTATTGTTCTGTTCTACATTTGTTTATTAACGTAAAAACCGATATCTTTGATTCTTTTCAAGCCAGAAATAGTATAAAATTTAAAATGATAAAATAATTAATAGGAAGTGTGTCATGACAAATTATTGAAATGTTGGTCTTTTCTACGATTGCATTCACAACTTGTTTGGTCCGTGATTAAGACGATTACAAAACACTCAACAAGCAGGAAAGTATAAACAAAGTTTAGTTTTTTATTCAAAAATATTATTAAAAAAATGATGAGTTGAAAAATTGTGCACAAACAATATTATATAAAAATGTATATATACATTATACATATAATACACGTGTATATATATATATATATATATATATATTTATATATGTTTATATATATTTATATATATGTGTATATCTCAAGACTCGTATGTTGTTATCTCATCCCTCTAGTTTCCTATATTTACTGGTTATAGTTTTTTTTTCAAATATATGTTTAATAATTAATTTAATGTAGAAAAAAACCAAAATCAAGTTAACGTAGAAATTTAAAGATAACGGAATGCAATGTTACATCTCATATGATTAATTTTTAAATTTAATAAGTACACATGATGATGTAACAATTGTTATTCTGTTATTTTTATTATCAATACTTAAACTCTCTGGTTCACGTGACATGTGTTAATTATAAATTTTTAATATTGGCGGTGAATTTTTTTCGGGACGCAATTTTGTAACATACATACCGCCACCTATCGGTGATTTGAACGAAGTGATTTCCGCGGGCAATATTTTATTTCGCGCCACTATAATAATTCATGTTGTATGACATACAACACACGGTAATCGCGCATCGTCGACGTCGTTCGTACGAAATAGTGTGCCAAACGATCGTTGCAGTACCTCAATTAAGGTAAACGTACCGGTTACGATATGGTCGTATGTTTGTTTGCTCGTGATGTTTGGGTTTACGCACAGTGTGGAAATGCATACGTTACATTGTTTGCATCGCGGCGCGAGACTCGTTATATAGTTTTTTTTTTCGTTGCTCCGATGTATGTACATCGTCATGTCGAGTATTGGTCAATTGTTAATCGGAGTGACAAGTGCTTCTAATTCCCGGTCGCACTAATGAGTAGCGCAATCAAGTAAAAGATTCGAAATCTAAACGAGGATCGATTTATCACTGATACAACTCGTTGATGACGTGCTGTGAAAAAACATACATCGCTATCAGGTAAAAAAAAGTCTGTTATTGTCATATAAAAATATATTTTTGCACGACAGAGTACGTAATAATAAATTCTTTCGGGCGAAAATCATTAATGTTTAAATGACAGCAATAAATATATTCCATAATATATTCCGTAATATATTCCACACAAAAAATGATTAAAGTGGTTTCCACAATAAAAGTCCTGGAAGGAAACTTTTTTCACGAACAGAGGAAAAATTCTACTGGAACAACACTAAAAATTATGTTTATTTCGCGGAAAAGCATTTTTGTATATTTAATGCAAAAATTTTATTACAATAATTTTTATTTCAACTTCGAAAAGAACATTCGTCGCGCTGCGCGCGGATGTGGTTATGCGTAAAGTTAACGCGATCGACGTGTATCTCGATAGTTCGATATATCGCGTGAAAGTAGAAAAAGTCTCGATCCCAGACGCCGTCATTTCGCGCCCGCTCGTCATCCCGACACGCGGAAAAGCGCGCGAATTTACGCGTCGCGTGAAGTTTCGCGCCGCGGCTTTTTGGTATCGCAATTATATCGGGCGTGGGGCCGGAGATTGAGTCCGGGCTCATAACTCTCGCCGGTCGTAACGTTCAGCTGCAGGCCGTTCGTTCGACCGTGCCTGCATTTCATAGGCCGCCAGATGTTACGCGTCTACATATCAGCGCGGCTCACCACTTCAACGCGAACGCGCGGTACGTACGTACGTATTCATTACTAAATTACAAGCAACACGAGTTGAAAGAGAGAGAGAGAGAGAGAGAGAAGTGACGCGGCTGTGCGAAACAGAGGTTGGTTGAACTGCGTTTCGACCGCGAATCGCCGATGGCACGTAAAACAACGGCGTCGACGAGCGGCTGTTTATTCAGCCACGACGAAAACCCCCTGGCATGTGCAACCGCCTTCTCGCATCTCGCGCAAAGGTAATTGTCCACTTAAACGCGTATGAATTTTACAATTTAACGAGACAACGAATAATCGATATACTTGTTTAATTAAGTGTATTAAGTACAAAACTTCTTTAATTACTATAGAACGCAACATATAAATCGGATTGTTTTAATATTTCAATTGAGCTTTTTCATTTGCTACTTGATTACTTTCTGATTTAGAATTAGATGTATATATCTTATTATTAATTAGATCTTTTTTTTTTTTTATCACCGCCTTAATATCTAGGTTAAATTTATATCCTCTGCGGATTACAATTTCTTCAATTTTATTATCATTCAGCAATCAATCATCCATAGAAATTATGATGAGGGAGCGAACAATCAATTCATTACTTAACCCCTTTCGGGCTTATCTCATCCGGGGAATTATACACCTCCGGCCGCTATCTTCTCGTCGCGGAAAATTGCTCGCGCTCCGCGCCTCCTCTTCCTCAAAACAATCTCTAAACAATCCAAATTAATTCGAGCGGATGCGCGCGACGATCGCATTTTCTCCTCGCGGATAAATCACGCGGGGCAAAGAGGGAGCGAGAGAGAGAGATAGGAGAGAAGGAGAAGTACTCGAAGAGCACACGGACTTGTAGCGAGCGGCTACAAGCGCGGCGATGACGAGGGGTGGTTTCTAGGAGGGAGGGAGGGAGGGTTACATTGTCTGGGGAAGGCGAACACTATTTGCCGGCAAAGTAGATTAGGTCGGTATTGATAGAGACGGAGCGGCGGAAAGAGAGAGGAAGTAATAGACCGATAAGGGTTGAAGGAGGTTGGACGGCGAGAAGGAGAAGAAGCTAGATAGAAGATGAGAGGAGGATAGATGAAGGTAGGTTCTCTGAGACGGCCAATATAGGATGGGATATAGCAATAGAGTTTCGCTTACGAGGTATAACCGCGTTAGACGATGCCCTTTGTTGTATCAGTGCGCCGAGACGCAATTGCCTTAAGTTCTGATCTCGCGAGATGTTGGATGACGGTTCAGGAAGACGGATGTCGGCGCGATCGGCGTTTCTTTCTTTCTTCAATTTCACGCAATTCCTCGACTCGAATTCGCATCAGCGATATTTGATTCGAATGAAGTCTATCGTGACTTATTGTCATCCGCTAATTCGTTGTACTTAATTTGCTAATGACATATTTTTGTGCACGTACGAAGTTACAAATTACGCGTACGAAGGTTTTAAAATAAGTCTTCAAGTTTTTTTTTCAAATTCAATTATTATTACGATAGAATTCGCTCGTTGTATTCATTGATTTGTTATCCGAACGCGACTGCGTCGTAACATTATCGGGAATCAAGAAAGCCGCAGTTCTTCTTCGCAGATCGAGAGAGTGTTTCAAACGCGCAACCGCACTTTTCGAATGCGCTACTTTTATTGAATCGAACATCGTCACGAGATTTTCTTCGCGAATCGTTTTATTGCGCGCTCGAAGCCCGCAAGCTGTGCATATAAAGTAACTTTCGACATTCCTTCTTGCGATTACACGTACATCCTTCTTACGCGCGTATTGGTCCCGTACCGTATTTTGCTGTACCGCTTTTTTTCTCCCTCCTCCTCCTCCTCTTCTTTTTTTTTTTTTATATCCCGCCGGTGCACTTAGGGGTGGGTGGCACATACCGTCACGTCTGGCGGGTTAATCAGAATTTTTACGAGCTGCCCCCCGAAACTCGGTGCAATCAACATCAAGCTTTACTGCCGGCTACTAATGCGCCGGTATTGCGATCCATCAGCACGTGGTAGCATTTTACTATGCGCATTTGCCGCAACCGGCTTCCGTCTGTGTCAAACCGGCGTGTATATCCGCCCTTTTTTTTCTTTCATTTGCTTTATCTCGATTGATCGCTGAATATCGATATTTTGTTTGTTTTTTCTTTTTTTTTTCCATTTACTTTATCCTCTTCCGGTTGATCGTTGAATATCGATATTTTGCTAATTACTTGCATTCTTATATCGCATGTCGGATGGTTGGAGCTGAATGTACACACATGTGTGGCGCTAAACGGACGGTTATTGATCGCAGATAACAGTTTCTCACAAATGTCAGACCGAAAAGGATATGCCAGAGGTTGTGACGACATTGCACTTTGTGCGTATAGGTTACCTATTAACTATACAGTCTCACATAAATTATTGATCTTCCGCATCGTCGACCGTCAGGTTTCGCGGAGTTGAAAATTTTTTTTTTCCGAATAGGTGCTCGCGACGAGCTTCGCAAAATTTCTTCTTCCCCGTTCAACATTCATCTCTTTCTATTTCAGATTTTTTTTTTCTTTGGATGTAAGCGAACGCGTGTTTTCGGTCGTCACCCAACGAAAGTTTGGAACGATAGAAGCGCGCGCGAGGAATATAATCTTATTCTTCTTCGTCTTCTTCTCACGTACAAGACATCTTTAGCTCCTTGCACGCCCTAATGTTACATCGCTTTTTGTAGCTTGCATGAAGTTACGCACTTTTTTCTAAAGAATCGAAGCGAAAGAAGCGGGGCGGCGGTCGGTGGTACGCGCCGCCCTTCCGTCACGAAGGACTTCGCGAGAGGGTGTAAAAGGAGGAGAGGGAATGGGTGGAGGAGGGAAGCGCACGGCGTAGCAGCGTATAATACATAATGTTCTTGCCGCCCCTTAGAATGTACAAGGTTTCGGTTCGTACATCCATCTCCCGCGTCATAAGCACGCCGACTAAAACATCGTCGATTTTTCTTGCATAGGTGTTACGTGTTTTTGATAAATGGCTGCCCGCGCGATCTCTCCCGCTCCCGGTCTCTCTCTCTCTCTCTCTCTCTCTCTTTCTCTCTCTTTCTCTCTCTTTCTCTCTCTTTCATTCTCACATCATTCTCTTTCTCAGCTTTCTTCCAACGTCATTGTTCCCGAAACGCACTAATATGCACCTTCTGCAACCGCATCCGGTAGTCTGATATCCGGCGTTTTAACGAGCTCCGCCGTTCCTTCTTAGCTTAATTCTTTTAACCGTTCTTTTGAAAGAAAACGAGAGATCCTTAGCTCTTAGAAGACGGAATAAATTACACGGATAAAGTGCATGCAAGGTGCACTTTATTTTATCATATTTTTAATAGAATTTTTCAGACAGTACAATGTAAAAGTCAAAAGATTCTCGCCTAAAAAATTTTTTTTTTTCACAAAACTATATTTTCACAAGAGATAAGGTTCGTCCGCGAAGTAAAAACGAACACAAACAGAATGATATCAATTTAGTCGCTTGATTAAAGATGCTTTTTTTTTTTTTTTATTGGTTATCGATCCATTCATACCAATACGTCTATTTTGCGCGTGGCGCGGACGTTATCGATCATTCGCTTTATGACTAGTAGGACTTGATGATCGCAGCAGGAGGCTAACCGGAGGAGGAGGATATCGGCAGGATGAGCAAATGACTGGCGCAGCACGCGATCTTCTATTACTTACCCGCGTTAATTGATATTGATGTGACGTAGTTCCTTTCGAGAAAGCTGATCGATATTAATGCGACGCACCTTACGGCCTTAATGAAGAAGCAAAAAAAAAAAAAAAACAGTTAAATTTCGATGTTTCTCCTCTCTTCGCTGATCAACGCGCTCATCTCGATCGTTCCGCGTAATCGTTTACATTTAGAAAAAAACGAACAAAAAGAGAAAATGTAAGTTGAAAGAAGTTGTCTCGCGTGCGATTTTCTTTTTTCCGGATTTAAACAAGTTCGAGGACGAGGTTAAAGAAAAAGGAGAAGGGCGGAAGGCGATGGGACGGAAAAGACTTATCAAGCGCATCGCCTTGTTTCTGGCAATTAGTCATGATCGACGTCACACGCCGAGTGTTTCCAAAGTCCATCGCGACTAATTGCCGCGAAGGCGACAGCCACGAAGTAGCCATCGGAAATTTGTCAATTGCAGGTAACTTCGGCTCGTTCCGCGCACAGTTTCCTCGCAGATGTTCCTGATAGGCCAAAGTTACGGTCTACGGTTGCGGAGCACCTTACTTCGACGACCGTTCCGTTGTACACCAATTTCTTTATCCGTCTCACCCCCTTTCTTATCCCCTTCGCCTACTCGCCACTCAGTGCTTTCTTCCCGCGAGTCACCTTCGTTACTTTCTTCGTTCTCTTACGCTGTCGAACGTCGGCGATCATAAAATCGATACGCTACACACCTATAGCCGAATCCGAATCCAAAGGGAATTCGAACGTAAATTTAAAGGTCTGAAAATTTTTGTCGTCATTCTCGTCGAGTACAATTTGTAAAAAAAATATTAGAAATACACAGTATTTTATTTATTTTATATTTATTGGAAATATAATAACGTTTTTTTTTTGTCGTAATGATTAAAATAATTTTATTTAACTCTTCTCTCTCTCTCTCTCTCAGCTTTAAATTGTGTAGATGTTTAGGCAGCGTTGATATTCAAAGAAATATGACAGTAAAGTGTTAAACTTGAAAAAAAATAGAGAGGCAAACTTGTTCCAAGCATTCGGAAACAGCAACTCATTAAATGTATTGCTACATAGGGGAAACTACTTCGAAGATGACGGGGAACCATTAGTGAGTAACTAATTGAGGGGTCCGGACGTAAAACCTGGTAAACTCGAGTAACTGACATTTATGCAAATGTCAGTTACCTGATTTTACGTCCGAACCCCTTAATTAAACACAGTTGTCGAGAGGGAGAGAGGAGGGGGAGAGGGGTGGACATTCCAGAAATTCAACTCTGAAAACTCAAGCTGAAGAAAACCGTTACATAATTGCACGCAGTCTTCAGTTGGTGTTTTCCGACAACTGACTTCGAAATTTATTTGGCACACAATTTTGCTGTAAATGTATTTAAAACATTATCTATCTTCATTCACGAATAGATTGAAAGTTTTTACAGCGTTTTCGCGTGTCAAATAGAACACGATAAAACTGTGAACTTTCTCTCGCGCATCAGCTTGTCCAACTTGTTGAGAACAAGGAAGAATATTTCTGTAGGAAGTGGAGTACGAGCAGTTTATTTGTGAAAAGGGAGAGAGAGAGAGAGAGAGAAAAGAAAGAGAGACGTTTCCTTTTTTCTCTCTTTTTTCGACGCGTATTTTACGTACGTACATAATTATTCCGAAATCTGCAAGCTCATTCTCACGTATCCCTTATGCGCGTATTATATCAGTAACTTCGCTCCATTCTTCGTAGCTTTCCTGTTTTAAAACTGTTTTAAGCCCATTTGAAAGGCTCCCCGCTTTCAAACCCACCCTATTCAGAGTGCCGAGCTCATTGCCGGACACGGTCCGCTGGCAGCGTTTCGCTATTTTCTCAGAGCTCTCCCGCACTCTCTCGCGACGCGTCGTGTCCCGTCGCGTTGTCAGCCGGATCTCGCGCGTCGGCCACGTGACGTGGCACGTATACGCGAGCGTCGGCAGGCGTCGAGACGCCGCCGGAAAAGGGGCGTCCGCGGCTTTATGTTCCCGTTGGGAATTCCGTTCTCATGCCTCACGGCGTTTCGTTTCACGTCGACGTCCCGTTGCTGTACGTGAAACTACCGCAACGAACTACGCGCGCACACACACATACATACACACACACTGCACACACGCGCGCGCACACATATACGCGCGCACGTTCAAAGCCGGCACTGTCAGACCGGACACGAAACTCGGCTGGATCGCCTGCCGTGATCCAAACGAGTCACGTGACACGCGATACGCGTGTCAGGATCGGCTCCGCGAGACGCGATCGCGTGCGCAGATGTATTAGCAGATTGTTGTTGCAATTTAGCGTTATGTGATTAGCGTGGCGCACGGCGTGTAGCACTTAGCAAATTGGCTCAAATCAAATGTTAACAATATTTGAATTTGTAGCGCTGTAATTTTTAAATATTTGCTTGTGAATATTTCAATCGGTTGAACTTTTAATTCCGTCAATTTCATGGGTCTTATTTTATATTTCTTTTCTCACATTAGATATATACATATATAATCATAAAAAAAAAAAGATTACGATGATATGAATTTTGAGCAGCAAACGTGTGGATTTTGTTGAAGAGAGCTTAAAAGAGTTCCGCAACGTCCGCTAAGAGAATAGGTATCGAATGTAAATGCGGCGTGTAGAAAACTCTCCGTCGATGGAACAAGGAATCTGAAGTTTACCGCGAAATTCGAGCGTCTTCGCGCGGCGGGAGGGCGAGCACGAGCACCCTCGAATTTAAGGATGCTCGAACAACTGTTGCGTGCATCCTTCGCAGCTTCTTCCGCGTCGTCTCTCTTTCCGCTCGACTGCTCGCGCAGCATGCGTCGCGACGCTTCGGAATATGCGCGGCGGATTCGCGAGAGGTCGCCGCGGGCGGATGGACGCTCGGCGTCGCGACGCGAGTGCCGAACGAGTGCCGTCAGTTTGCGTCTGTCTAGGGTCGCGACGTCCTCGTTCAACGCGCAGTGCTACGAGACCGCGCGCACTTCGCGATCGAACAAACGATCCTGTCTCCGCAGGAAGGAATCATCAGCGTCGCATTTCGCATCCGCATCGCATTGCATCGCATCGCATCGATCTCTGGATCGAGATATAGAAGTCACGTGATTCGTTCACGTTCGATTAAACGATCGTTTAGTTTCGGCGAACGACGCGGTATTCGAAGAGGTCTGAGAGAACCATCAGGTGTTCCGCGTGAAGACCTGAAATCCTTAAATTGTCTCGGAATCCTTGAGGATCGTCAGAGAAGCCCCGAGATAAGTCGAGAGTTCGCGAACACTGTGAAGAAACTCGAGAGGAGCATCTGAGATATCTCGCTGAAGTTAAAGGCAATTTTGCGAGAAGAGACTCGCAGATTTCTAAAGAAGAGATGGCAAGTTGGTCGGCAAAAAGGATGGGAGAAGTCGCGAATTTTTAAGAAAGCAAATGCCGCAAAAATTCCAAGCCGCGTGAAGAAAAGTGTTTGGGACGTTTCAGAAGAGTCACCGCGGAATTCGCGCAGAAGTCTCTCCCGAGAGCCTTCGAGGACATCTCGTAAAACAAAAGATCAAACATCGCACGGCACGAATTTCAAATTTATAAGTTTCCAGTTCGGCAAAGAAGAAACTTGTATACAACGACTATGAGACGACTTTTACATCGTGCCAAGTTTTTGTCACGTGGCCGTTGAATTTGACTTTGAGAATTTACATAGTAAGCGTTGTATTTTACAATATCGAAGTAAAACAAGCTTGGCGTTTGTGCTGTTCAATCTTTTTTTACGTCCCGCGGTATTTTAATGAAATTTTAAGAACAATCTTCCGCCCGGATCAATTTAAACTTCGTCAGAAGGTACGCCACTAAAATATTAACGTTGGTGTCCAGCACGCTTTTGCGACTTCTCCGCCAAGAACAACTTTTTTGCGGTGTCTTCGACGTGAATTTTCAGAGCTCTGACGAGTGTTTTATACAGAATCCTGCTCGTTCGAGTCGCTGCCGGCGAATATTTTCGCTACGATTCTAAAGTAAAAAGACTCGACGTTTAAAAGGCGCTTCGGGGTTATATCCTGCCTCGTCATGATTCAGAAGAGTCCTGTTTGAATAGTCCTGAATACAGTAAGAGCGACATAAGTGGAATTATCGAAGACCAATAGGACCTTGAAGTTGATCGATCTACGCTTGATATTTTTGAAGAATCGGAGAATTCAATTCAGCGACACTCGACTTCGGGGGACAGAAGGTAGATGGATCTATTCTGATATCTGACGGGATTGTTCTCTCCACTTCAGCAGTTTCGGTGAGTACTGACAGTCTTAATTATGTTTGCATTTTACACAGAATATTGAATGATCAAGGATTCACGTCAGAACAACTCTCGGATATCAGTAAATTTCAATTTTTGAATTTTTTCTTTTTGCATCATTGTATAAGTTTAAGTTTCTTTTTCTTTTTATCATAAGCAGGTACACGAACAATCCATAATTCAATAGAATTTTAAAATGGGTTTTGTCTATATTTGCGAAGTGTGTGATCTCTTTATATTTATATATAGAGAGTAGTGACGTAAATTCGGAGTACCCGAAAATAGGAAAAATGTATTGAAATGTTATTTGTTAATCCAATGACCGATCCGAATTTGAGCTCATGAAATCCAGGCGCATTTACGGATTCATGAACTTTTATAGTGCAATTTATCACACGTCCCACGTACACATCCCTCGAATATAAACCGCCTCGTATTGTCACTTGTTTCGAGAGTGACATAGTTTCACGTAGTAATAACATAAATATTCAAATATCTCCGCCGATGTAAATATTCCAAAGCGTACCGAAGTAATAAAATAAACATCCCAGGTCGGCGAAAAATCTTGAAATATTCGTTGAATGTATTTAGCCATTGGGGTAAAAAAAATTACGCAGCGGCGGACAAAATCCAAGAAAGCGACAATTCGAAACAAGTAAAAAAAAAAAGATCAGCAAGAAATGTCTGCCAATATCGATTTATGCGAATCCACAAATTTAAGCGAACGAAATTCAAACGCATTTACGGATTTGCGAACTTTAATCGCGTAATTTATTACACGTGCCACGTTATATGCTCGAATATACATGGAAGCATCGCATTGTCGCTTGTTTCGAGCAACGAGTTAGATTACTGCTGGGGTGAACTTCACAACTTAATTCTCTTTTGCACGTCGCAGCTGCGAATATCAGTCTACGCGTTGCTCGCGAGCTTACGCGCTTTACGCGCCTCGCAAAATCTCGGTGCTTGGTTTGAGCGACTGAAAACTTGACGCTAAACTCCTGCTCCATCATCTTTTGTTATTTTCTCTCTCTCTCTCTCTTTCTCTTTCTCTCTTTTTCCTTTCCTTTCCTTCTCTCTTTATCCTTCGTGGATTTTGATGAAACGCCGGGCACACACACTCTTCTCACATTAAAAGGACGGAAAATTCGTTATCAATTTCTGCTTATCGGGACGTGCCGTCGCTCCCGAATAAGGATCCGTTCATCCGCTCGGACAAGCCTCTGAAAGCGCGCGCGGGGGATTAACTTAAAATCAGCGCCGCGGCGTGTACTGATTACGAACAATCGTAATTAAATTCTTTCCACGCTAATGACTGCTGGCACTTGAGCTCCGTGCAAATGATATTTAAATTAGCACGCGTCCCGTATACTAATCAAGCCGAACCTTCTCGTCGCGAACGTGCTCTCTTTCTCCCGCAGAATTATTAATTAATATCGCATTACAATCGCATCAACTTCGCGTGATTTATCCGGCAAAAATCGGACGCCCGGCCGTCGGACCGATTGAATAATAATTTTCATCGCCTGCTTGTTTTCAGAGTTATTAGCGTCATTATGTTTCAAAATTCATATCACTTCTGCATTTCAACGATAATTTCACGAATACAATTGGACTTTTTTTTTTCTCTCTCTCTCTCTCTCTTGTGGACAAAAAATATATTAACAAAACTTCTTAAAGTACGAACAATTAATTTCTCATTTGATTAGCTTATGAATTTCTGGAACGCGTGTGTAACAAATAATCTTTTTTTATTCTAATTTATGTACATTATATTCGTGAAAAGATGGTTTTTTTTTTAAATCAAATTTCTAAACCGTTTTGAATAACTTTTCGAGATCCGCGATAAGTAGTTACAAATTTTTAAGAGCTTAGTATATTTATTATATAAGATTAGACGAGAGAAAACTACGTCTCGCATTCAGATATTTCGGACTAATAACGGATTATTTCGGACTCACCTCCGCGCGGCCGTTTTACGTCAAGGTAGCGGAAATATTTCGAGCGGTTTATTAGAAGCGTGTTTACGAAACGAGGATGAGTGGCTTTCTCGAGAAATCGTTAAACAATCGCGATTGTTTACACAGAACCTCGGCGAACGTTGCAGTTGCTCGCCGAAGCGGCCACTCCGCCGATATCCGTCCGCGAAAATAGTTTTTCGGAGGCCGAAGAAAAACAATCGATGGTGAGATCGATGTTAACCATAAGCTTCATTTCGCGCGGATGCAAATACTCCGAAAAATCAGTAATAACAATCGATCCTGCATAAAATATCAAAGAACCGGAAAGTTGCCGTGTGTTTGTCTCTCTTCTTTTCCCAGCGCGAGATTTGTTGAAGATTGTTAAAGCATTTGCGTAAAATTATTTTTACACAAAAAAATAAATACACGTTACACATTTTGAACTTTTTGTTTTGCTCTTTTCGCGAGACTATATTTCGACGTATGCTCGTATTCAGGACGCGTTAACAACGATCTAGAGAGATGTCTGGTGAATATCAATGAATATAGTTTCAAACCTACGCAATTGATTAGTCACGCGTGTGGAATTTTATTGGAATATTAGATATATATGGAACAGCGCAATTTGTTGACCGTGAAATTGCGCAATGAGAAGAATCTAAACGACATTCCGTCTTTTAAAATATCCTCGAGATACGTCATTTCTATTGCAATGTTAAATATGAACTTGAAACAACAAATTTTGGCACAAAATGCGCCAACATAGTCCGAATGGTGGCGAAAGCAGTTGCATTCCAGGTGCGCAGAAGTGCATCTCGAATGCACCCGGTCGACTGCGCAACATTCCGCAATAGCTGCGGTCATTTTGAACACGCTGGGTTAGCCAGGAATGTTAATAGAAAATACTCGGTGTCTCCAGACTTTAATTATGAAGCGCGAATGGAGATCGCGAAGTACTCGGTCGCAGAGAGAGAGAGAGAGAGAGAGATGGAAAGAGGGATGGAACGGTTGGAGCGCGCAAGAAGAAAGGAGGAAAGGGATAAGAGCCTCCCCGGTGAAGTCTTGAATTACGAAGGGTGAAAATCGTGCCGCTTGTTCGACGGAAGCGTCGCGTTTACAACGAAGAAGGTGTTGAGAGAGGCGACGCGATCTCGCACTGTGTGTTCACGAGATGCGCTGGAGCACAAAACGGCGAACTCGGAAGAATTCTGAGCATTTTAAAGAAAATACGTTGCGCACGGAGAAAGAGAGAAAGAGGAAAGAAAGAGATAGACGGAAAATTTCGCAAGAAATGAGGTAAACCGTAGGACGAAAGAGAGAAAAGGAAAAAACTGGACGAAAGATCGAAGCGCGTTGTGGAAAGATTACGAAAACATGGAGAACGCGAGAGAAAGAGAACGAGGAGATAAGGTCATCTGAGGAAGCGAGGGATTGGGAATGCCATTGTGAAGTCGTACGAGGTAAGGGGTTCTCCGCGCTGCTTCTCTACGTGAAACTTCAAGCCAGGTCGATTCTCAGGGTTGATCTTTGAAACGAGCGGCCGGCGCGCCGCAACGTTAAATCCGCGATTAAAATGCATTGCGTAAAATCAGAGGGGCGGCTTGCGCGTTTCCCGTTCCCGCTCTCTGCGCAGCGAGTAAATTACATAGCACCGTCAATCCGACTCGGATTTCTCCAAAGCCTCGAGTTCACGCGAGACGGAGCAAAGCGGGAACAGGAGGAAGTAGAATAGCGCAAAGCGTTCAACGAAGCAAGCGGAATAAGCGAGGCAAGGAATAGAGACGCGCAACATGCCGCGAGAACCGCGTAAGAAGCGTAAGAAGAAGACCAAAGCATAAGAATGTTGACCAAGAAGAAGGAGTGAAGACAAGGACGGTGCGATATATTGCAAAGAAGATTAAAAGAAACGGAGCAATGCGAAGTAAGCCAAGATGAAGCGATGTGGAAATAAAGTAAAGTGAATAAAATACCGTGAAAAAACCGAAAAAGAGAGAAAGAGAGAGAGAGAGAAAGAGAGGCAAAGCAGAACGAAATAAAGGAAACCGGAGAGAGTCGCAGAACGAGGAAAGCAAAGCGCAAAGAAAAGTAAGAGAGCAGTGAAGAAATACGAAGAAAATTAAAACAATACAAAACGAAGTATAGAAGCGTAAAAATGGAGGAAAGTGGAGTGAAATAGAATAACATAAAGGATAACAAGACGTGAAATAAAGCAAAGTCCGTTGAAACAGAAGTATGAAACATAGAAGAACGTTCGCGGAAGCAAACTGAATGCAAGGTACAAGCTGAATGCAAAACAAGAAGGGAGTAGTGGATATTATTCTATTAATTAGTCGGTATTTTTCCGCTATTAACGTTGAAAAATATTTTATTGGAAAGTTTAGTACTGCAGCGCTTAGTGAATAAAATGATTAAGTGAAATAAAATGATTTGGAGAATGGACAAACTCAAAGTTTTCTCTTTATCGGTTATCCGTATCAGATAATTTAAATAAAATATGTTATAAAAACTTATATATAAAACACTTACATGTATATAAAAGACAATGCAAGATATATAGATATATAAAATGAAATGTGTACAGTGTAGTAACGCAAGGCTAATTATACGCGAGCGTTAATTAACGTGATATGTATTTACGCGTTAGTAATTGTTTAACGGAGTTTTTGGAAATAATTGCGAGGCAATTTATATTATTTAGGCGCGCATAAAGGCGTCGCTCCCGGGCGCTGATAATGTACGCACTTGGCGAGGAAAGGATAAAATGAGAGAAAGAGAAGTGGAAAAAAGAGAAAGAAAGAGAGAGGGATAGAAAAAGAGAGCGAAATGGCAACAATGAAAATTCGTTATCCGTTGTAAAATGAAATTTACGCGCAGGGCGCGATACAATGGATCATCTCGATCCAAACGTATCGCTTTTTGCAGTCGCGAGCCGAGAGAGAGAGAGAGAGAAAGAGAGAGCTCAACAATTCCGCTCGCAAGCTGCGCGTGAAAGATGTGCCGTGCGGATTTATCCGCGAGCGAGTCGCCACAAAA